CATCCATCTATAGTTCCCCAGGAACGCCCCCCGGAAACGCGCCTTCACGGTCCCCTAAGGAATAATAGGTATTGACATGAATAGTTCTCGAGGGACATAAGTGACATAATAGGGTAATGATAACATATTCTCTGACAAAATAATGGAAGGCGCGCCCCCAGGAACGCGCCTTCATGGTCCCCTAAGGAATAATAGGTATTGATATGAATAGTTCCCAGGGGACATAAGTGACATAATAGGGTAATGATAACATATTCTCTGACAAAATAATGGAAGGCGCGTCCCCGGGAACGCGTCTTCACGGTCCCCTAAGGAATAATAGGTATTGACATGAATAGTTCTCGGGGGACATAAGTGACATAATAGGGTAATGATAACATATTCTCTGACAAAATAATGGAAGGCGCGCCCCCGGGAACGCGCCTTCACGTGAATAGTACCCCGGTTATAGATACTATTATATGCAAATTTCTCAAAAATCTCAATCCTCTATTGTCTGAAAATGAGTCGTTTTCCTGCTGTTGTTTTGTATGATGGAGAAATTAAACAAGCTGAAGAGGGGGTTGTTTTTGAGTCAGATCATTATATCCCCTTAACCTTGAAGAGAAACATCACACTTGAGGAGTTAATCACAAAAATTTCGTTAAAGATTCGTGTAGCAGGCCGGAGAAGACTATCTTCACTTCAGTACAGATTTCCTACTGAACTTTTTCCGCTCACGTATACATCATTTCAGCTTTCAAACGATGATGATGTTTCTATGATGGTTGATGCTCATATGGGAAGTTCACAATCTCTTATTGAAATGTATGCGCCTTTTATTGAGGTTCGTGCTTCTCGTGGTCTCCCATATTCCTCTCACTTTGGCATTGTATATCAAGCTGATCAAGTTGATAGCCCGACACAACTGATCTGTAATGATTTCACATCATTAATGGCGGATCCAACACCAGATGACATGCCATCAAGTTCAGTAGGAAGGCATTCATCTGCAACTGCTTATGATCTTAACCCACGTTGTTTCACTAATAATCCATATGGCAACATCTCTTCTACTTCAAGGGGTAGACATTCATCTGCCAATGTTTTCGACTTACATATGGAAATGCCAACAAGACGGCAGTCTATTCACATCCCACATGATACAATGGCCTCAAGTTCAAGGGGAGGACACACAAGCGGGAACTTATTTGACCTCAACATTAGATTATCGGAGGAACCATCATCTCCACCAGAAGAACCTCTTCGGGAGCCAGGTGCAGATGGTACTGAAACGGGATTATTCGTTGAACCTGACTCACCACAGTTTAACTTACATTCTGATGATGACTAGGATGACGTTCCGATAAATACAACATCAGCCGAACTTCCTGCACATATGTATGGGGCTGATTATGATGCAATGTATAAGCCCGAATTTCTGGATCTTCCTGATGTTGGCAACTATGGACTTCAATCAACAGTTAATGATGGTGATTTATATATTGGAATGGAGTTCGCATCGAAGGAGGAAGCAATGATGGCAATAAAGAGTTACAATATTCGTAACTCAGTTCAGTCCCGAGTTGACTGATCTAACACAGAGAAATATGTCTGCTACTGCGTCCAATGTGACAACGGATGTCAATAGATGGTTCGTGTATCAAAGAGGAAGAGGAAGAACAACTTATGGGAACTAACCAGATACAACGGTCCTCATACATGTTGTGCAAGAGGTATAAACCAGGATCATCCCAACTTGGACTCCAACATTATTTGCCAAGCAATCATGCCCATTGTGAAGCAAAGCTCTCATATAGCTGTTGCAGTGTTGATTTCTGCTATATCACAATATGGGTACACCGTCTCATATAAAAAAGCTTGGTTGGCAAAACAAAATGCCATTTGCAAACTTCATGGCGAATGGGATTCATCTTACAACGAGCTGTCCAGTTGGTTTCATGTTGTGCAAAGACTCAATCCCGGGATAATTGTTGAGTTCGAAACTCAATATCATTACGTGAATGATCGATTGGTTCATGATCGCTGCCAATTCTACTGTGTCTTTTGGACTTACCCTCAGTGTATTAATGCAGTCAAGTACTGTAAACCAGTTGTCCAAATTGATGGTACTTTCTTGTATAGGAAATACAAGCAAGTTTTATTATTGGTTGTGGTCCAAGATGGAAACCGCAATATTCTTCCCGTTGCGTTTGCCCTCGTTCAAGGAGAAGACACTGAGTCTTGGGCTTTTTTCCTTAAAAATTTACGTTTACATGTTGTCACCAGGGAACGAGTATGCATTATTTCAGACCGAGGAGCCGGGATAAAAGCAGCAATGGACTCTTTGGGTACAATGTATAGACCTCCACATGTTCAACATCGTTATTGTGTCCATCATATTGCTGCAAACTATTACGGAAAATACAAGAAGAACGATGAACGTCAATTAGTCGTGCGGATGGGTATGTTACTTTTCCCCAATTTTTCTATCATTTTCGTATTACTTATTTATACTTCATATTAACTATTACATATTCCTAATGGCTTAGGTTACGAACTCTTACCTCAAAGGTTTGAGTCGATGCTACAAGAGTTGTTTGGCAAAAATAAGAAGGGGTGCGAGTACATTATGGACATCAGCAAAGAAATGTGGACAATTGCGTATGACGGGGGTATCGCTATGGTCATATGACAACAAACTTGGCTGAAGCAATAAATTCAACCTTAAAGGGGGCGCGTCATTTACCAGTCACGGCATTGGTCAAAACGACTTATTTTCGTTTGGGTCAACTCTTTGCAAAGCTCGGTGGACAAGCTCTTACTTGGATGCAAAACGGTCATATTTACCACCCAAGACTAGTAGCTGATTTACAGAAAAAAGTGGCTGCATCAAATGGGATGTTGATTACAAATTTTTCTCGCACCCGTGAATTGTTTCGTGTAACCGAAATGCCACGTCTGTTGCAATGGATTGAAGCTAACTCTTTCAGAGTTAATCTGCATGAAAGGTGGTGCGATTGTGGTTTTTTTCAAGCACTCAAATATCCATGCTCTCATGTCATTGCAGCTTGCTCACATTCGCATTTGGACTACAAAAATTATGTTGATCCCGTATACCAACTTTCACAAGTATTCAAGGTATATAAATTTGAGTTTCCGCCCATAGGAAACAAAAGAGACCCAGATGAGATTCAAACTTGGCTTACAATTGTACTAGATCCATTGCTATTGAGGGACTCAGGTTGTTCAAAATCTACTAGAATACATTGTGATATGGATATTCAGGAGAAGTCAACAAACCAAAAACGATGTGGGCATTGTAGAAACATCGGACACAATAGAAAAAAATGTCCAGCTCTATTATCATCACATAATCGTTAACCCTTATGTAACCTAATATTCTATTTAAATGAATGTTTTTGTTTCTAATATTTAAATATAATTGCATTTCTATAATTTCTCAATGTATAATAATAATAACAGATTAAATGTGTAATTATACTAATTTTATTAACTTATGCATCAATATTTTGGTTAAATAATAATAATAGATGACTAGATTGATAATATTTAAATAATTAAGTGATCAAATTAATAGATCGATAATCAAAATAAAAAATAATAATATAACCATACATGTAATATAATAATTTTATACATTTTTCATATAACTACAATAAAATAAAAACTAGTTTTCATCTGTTGTTCTATCCGATTAATGTGGATAATACACTCCACCTTTAACACACATTAAAAAAAATATTCGATAATTATTAAATTATAACTGAAACAATTTACATAATATATTACTAATTTATAATAACAATAAAAATAAAATTTTTATTATTAAAAAAAATACTGCGTGGCAACTGAATTAGCAAAATGAAGGTAAAGTGCGTCCTCGGGGATGCACTTTTCACACGTGGCATCCAACTCAGCGTAAAACCAGGTAAAGTGTGTCCCCGGGGATGCGCCTTTCGCCACCTCAACCGAAAGGGTGCCACTTCGGAAAATATAAAACAAACGGTACTAAAAAATGAGATATTCGATTAAAAGATGTCAGTTTGGTCAAATCGCCAAGAGGCTGTCTATTACTTTCAAGTTCTGCAATAGCAGAAATCATCTCCTGCAAAACATTGAAAAAAAAATCCCAAACTTTAATAATTAGATGTATAATAACTTCAAATCTTCTACAGATTATTCAAGATGTAGTATATGTTCTTAGTGGAGAATATACAGACCAACTATCTGGTAGCTGATTGAAGCAGCCTTTGTTAAATATATAAGTAATTAGTTATGCTATGTGTAGAACTTGAATTAAGTATAGTACAATACACACATTATTAAAGTTCCACTCTTTATTTGCTTGAAACAAATGGTCAAAGCCTATAGCTTGGACAAAGCTACCATACAGGGCCAATCAAACAAATATAGAGGAAGGGGGAGAGAGAGAAATGGAAAAGTTTCTTATAAAAAGGATAGATTTGAAAACCTGGCAATTCATCTATATATAATATCATTTTCTTGTATTTTTGTGGTGTTATAATCGTGTTAAAATATTTTATATTTATATAAATTTTGATATGTTAATAACTTGTATTATATAGATTTCGAGAATTTCGTACATTCATGTCATCAGAAAAGTCATTCCCTGTAGATTGGTAAGATGAAACTAAAATCAATAAGTTTGGATAATTTTAATCTTAAAAACGACATAATAAATTAGAATGAGGCAAGAAATACTTTATCATAAGTACAGCCTAGATGTTTCGGTGATAGTTGACATACCGACTCTATATATGTATCAAAATGTCTGCTAGTTACGATTTGCGCAACAGCCTGAAACAGCAGCATAAGATAAATTAGAAGTGAAATTTTGTATAGGAGTAAACAAATAAAGTTACTGAATCATCCTAATGTCTTGTATGATCAAATCTGACCACCAAAACAAGATTACTTATGGAAGATAAAATGTTATAAAAGAAATTCTGACTTCTTATCCATTGGAACTTACATTGTCAAGAAATAAAACCTAAACACTCTAATATGCCTTCCCTTCCCTTCAAGTCGATGCCCACTTTGGTATTTCCAGATGCATGCTTTTCATACAGCTTAGATATGATATCCATTGAATTGAGTCCAGCATTCTCTGCGAGGGTTCTTGGTACCATTTCAAAACTTTCAGCAAACTTAGCAATGGCATATTGCTCCAATCTGCAAAATAACCATTTACCAAATTAGCCAGTAGTCCAAAATCTACTGTATATTCCAAAATTTATATATATATGTGTGCAAGTAAAATGTCATCATGACTCGATCATGCCATCATGACTCGATCATGCCATTCATGCAATTCAAGAGCAGCAATAATATGTAGGGTGATACTTTATAGTAAAGAGTAAAGCAGAAAAATAATAGATCACCCTGTTTCCTTAAAGGAGAATTCTTTCAATCTTCTAACCAACTCAATTTCAGTAGCTGTAGCTCCAGGAACCATCCGACTGTCCCTGCACATTGCCTGACAAAAAATACGGCATTAAGAAAGTGATAATGATACTTCCCTTGAAATTTACATCCAAAAATAAACAAAAAAATGTCTCAAAAGGTAAGAAATACATAACTCAATAAAGTTTACAGAGGAGAAACAATACAATACTATGAAGAATACTTAGAAACAAAGTAAATATTTGGCGACTATCACCTTATGTGTATTCACCCCATCATCAACAGCTCTTTCAAGATCATCCAATATACTATCAGTACTTCCTCGTAGAAGCACAGTGGATATCTTGTTACCACCTTCTTCACTTCTCACAACAGTGACCTACACTTAATAGATAATACAAAACAAACTGAATAAAAGACAAGAAACCAAATACGAGTAAAAGCAAACTCATAAAACATACCCGATAACCACCGATTTCCTCAACTGAAATTGAATCAATAAATCCCAAATCATCAGCCTTCAGTTGGTTGAGTTTCAACTGTCAAAAGAATTAAAAGCTCATCAGATTGCAAACGAAAGACATTATCTTTTTTTTCCTTTTACTATAATCTAGATAGAATGCTCACAAGAGCGGAAGTTCCTGTTATGCGACAAAAACGCCTCAGTTCAAATTTCAAGCTGATTTGACACAAAAACATTCTACCAACAAAAACCATCAGTGGCCAGAGAACCAGTAAGTAAAATCTTACCTTCCCGTCGATAGGAGCTTGCCTTTGTCGCCCGGAGTCTTGGGGAGCGTTTAGGTCATGGTGACTGTGGGTTTCTACTAGGGCTGCGAGTGGACGAGGTTTGAGAGGAGAACGACGAGGGGGAAGTTTTAGCCAAGGAAAGTTTGCGGGGAAATGAATTAGGGTGAGAGTTTTTACTCTAGATATCCTGTTTTAGTGTTCCTTTAATTTGTGTTTGTTTTCAATTGTGTCTTGTAATTTTAATTATTTGGCATTGTAATCCCTTAGTTGACTTGTTTAATTTAATGAGTAATTTCTACTTTGTATGCCTATTTTCAGTTTTATATTGTTTTGGTCCTTCATGGCATTTTTAAAATATGAGTTTAAGTTATTAATAGTAGGTTTAATTTTATATTGTTTCATCTTAATGTATGTGCATTTGCATTTCATTCGTATGCATGCATGTATCGTGTAAGCACACTTTAGTTTAAGTAATAATTTAGTCCCTCTTTAGAGTTGTATTCTTTAAGTAGTTGTGTATATTTATTTTGCATGTTGATATGTTTATGTATAAATATGCGAATGATTTATTTAGAAATCACATAACATCATTTTGCATAATTTGTATGTTAGCTTCATGTGTATAACTTAAACCCTAAATCCTAATACCCAATACCTACACCATAAACCTTAAATCCTACCTAAACCCTAAATCCTAAACCATAAACTCTATCACACAATTATAAGGAATGAGATGTCTTAGTTGTATTATAGAAATTTTAATATATTTTTAAAATTTTATAATTATCAATAATGTATTTTTAATAATGTAATTTTAAAAAATCTAAAATTATAATATAACGTTTTTTCGAGTTGCTCACGAGCTTTTCGAGTCGAATATCGAGTAGCTCGTTTCAGCTCGTTAAGAAATCGAGTCGAGCTCGAGCTCGAGCTCGAGTCCATTCAATCCGAGTATTTATCGAGCCTTGATCGAATCGATCTCGAATAGCTCGCGATCTGTTTCGTCTCATTTACAACCCAAGGCACAACCCCTCTTATGTATGTAGTAATTTTGTCGTTGATCAAATGTCTACTAGTAGCAGATGAAATAGGTTCTAGAGAGAATTTCCTCTCACTTCTTTCCATATTTTCCTCTTCATTTAGGGTCTTCCTTTCGTTCAGGTCTTCTCCTTTGTTTATCTAAAGGAAATGGGTTGTTTAGGAGCATTCCTAAGTCTGGTGAAAGAGTTTACGTTTCAAATCGGTCATATACAAGAAAAGTGCAATTTTTCTTCCTTCCTTGAACCATTTCGTCTTCTTCCGGAGACCCTAATTGAGTTTTTCAAGACAAGGTAAGAGTTACTCAAGTGTTAACACTTTTACTTTATTGTCTTTACAGGTTTTCTTCAAAGAATCCATTCTTAGAAAACGATTAGAGAAAAAGGAAAATTGTAATAGATGGTTTTACAAAAGAAAGAGATTGAAAAAAATGTATGCCAAGGGTTTTAGGAAGATCATGGCAGAGGATCAAAAAGAAGAAGTTTAGCAAAGGATTCAGGACCCATCCACATCGAAAAAGGGGATCCAAACCTAGGGCTGCATTGTGTTAAATGATCACGAAAAATCTTAAGTTCAGAAGAACTCGTACCGAATGAAGCTTCATAATCTTGTCGGGCAAGAGAACATTACTACTTTTAGAAATTCGGATGAGGAAGCTAGTTAGTTGGAAAAAGGTTGTCGAACCAGCCAAACTGAAAGTTCCAAAGGTACTCTTGAGTGTTTTACACTCCGAAAGGACAAAAGGAAGAGGGGAAGTCAAATTGCGAAAAGGAGAAGTCCCATCACCAGAGAGTGTGCACCTAAATTTTCCAAAAGAAGTGAAAAAGAACAAGTAGGAAGAATGATAAGGCACCAGTCAGTTTTTCCAATTCTAAGTCCAAGCTTCAAGAAGGTTTTTTTATACAAGGAAAAGATGGTGATAGGTTCAATGATAATAAATGGAACCACATGAGATATACAATACCAAAAGTAGATTACTATAATAAGCTTAGTCAAAACAAAGGCTTCCGTACTCACATTGTTGAGAAGCACAATCCCACCAACAAGTGGTACGATTTTCACGATAATTCAAGCCTTAAAAGTTAAACCTTTATACGGTCAACCGTCCAAAGCTCACTTCCCTAAGTATTTCCTTATTGGGTGTCGAACATATGGTGGTAGGAGAATTGGTAAAATAACAAATAAGGAAACTCGGATTGGACCCAAGCTCCCCCTAAATCAGTTTTGAAATGTCAAATCAAAGTTCTCTTGGAGAAAATTTTGTTGCCCTTCTTCCCTTTCACCATTTTGTCTTATACTCACTTCTGGTTTTTCCTTTTATTCAATTCTCATTATCAGTCTAGCCCTTTCCATTTTGACGCAAAAGAGCTCCTCCCCGATCCCTCATATCTTATAATCCTTTTTAACTCCATTCCTTTAACCCCAACCTCCTTCCTCAAATTTGCTAAGGACTCTATTAAAGCCCCATCCGATGGGGGAATTTCATTTTTACCAGTGATGGTGGCACTGTGGCAGTCGAGCAACCCTGTCGAGATAGAACTATTGCGAGCTTGGGAACCCAACAACAGTTTAAAAACTTAAAATAATTATTTCAAAAAGGGGCCCAAAGCTCATTTTTCGTTTGTGAGATTAAACTTAGGAAGAATAAAACCGAGAGAATTAGGATTATGGTGGGAATGAAGGGTGTTTTGTTGTCCAAAAATTGGAACAATGTACTGGTCTGGTTTTATTTTCTAACGATGATTTGAATGTGAATCTTCTTGGCTACTCTAATTCTCATATTGATGTTGAGGTGTCTTGGAATAACCTCCATTTTTGTTTCACTAGATTTTATGGTTGGTGCGCAAGAACCAGGAAAAAAATGGGACCTCCTGAATAGGCTTGCTCTATTATCTCATTTACCTTGGATTTTAGGGGACTTTAAGGGATTATCCATCCAAACGAGAAAGTAGGGGAATACAAAGACCATGGGTTGATATGAACGAATTCAGACTGGGACTCCAATCTTTCAATTTGTGGGATCTAAAACCACAAATAGATTGGTTTACGTGGACATTTGGTAGACAAGATAGGAATCATATCTAAGAGAGAATTGACAAATTCATTGCTACCCCAGAATGGATTCAAATTTTCAATGATTTCAGAGTTTCTACTCAGCTAATTATATGGTCTGATCATGCGACATTTTAGTTGACATTATATGTGCAACAAGAGATTCACCTCAAGTCTTGTGTGGGGACTATTTCAAATTTGATGCTTGTTGGGCTAAGGAGGAACGGTGCAAAAAAGTTAACAAAGAAGCTTGGGTTGGTTTCTGGAGTACCCTGAACAAAATTCAAGCAACAGGCTCTCGTCTTGGACATTGACAAAGATTAAGGAGGACTAAGGAAATAAATGAAGAAAGTGTTCTCAGGACAAAGATTGAACAACTCGAAGCGGATCCAATCACTGATGACTCAATAGAGAAGCTCATTTAAATCAGAGTGGAACTCAAACAGATTATAGACAAAGACGAGGCCTACTAGAGATAGAGATCTAGAATGACCTGGCTTAAGGACCGAGACAAAAATCCTCATTCTTCCACTCTATGGAGAATAGGACAAAAAAAGGAATTGAATCGCAGGGCTAAAAATGCTGATGGCCAATGGGTTGACCAACCGCAAGAGATCTTTGAGGTGGCTACCAAGTTCTTCTCTTCTCTCTTTCGCTCTACTAGAATAGAAACTTCAGAAGCAATTCTGGATGCCATTGAGAGATGTGTTACTCCCGAGGACAACTCTTTGCTTTGTCGAGAATTCACTATCGAGGAGGTCCTCCAAGCCTTCTCCCAAATCAACCCTAACAAAGCCCCAAGTATTGATGGCCTTTCTAATTCATTCTTTAGATATTTCTGGGATTTGGTTGATAATGATCTTATTAGGTATTCTCCAGTTATGTGAGCAATCTTCTGGGCAGAAAATTAAATATGACAAATCCAACATTTACTTTTGTACTAACACTCATCTTGATCACCGGATGAGCATTAGACAAGTCCTTTAGTGGTCATATCTTGGTATTCCGCTCATTGTGAGGAAAAGAAAAGTTTCCACATTTAGTTTTGTTAAGGACAAAGCATCTAAAAAATTCAAGGCTGGATTAAAAATTTACTTTCATTTGGTGGTAGAGAAATCTCCTCAAATCAATTGCACAAGCCCTCCCCACATACGCGATGTCATGTTATCTTCTTCCGAAAGGCATAATCGAGGACATTACTGCCCAGATTAGGTCTTTTTGGTGGTCGAGAAAGTAGGATGCGATGGGATGAGCCATGGCTGCATGGGAAAAAGTTTGTAGAGCAAAACAACTTGGAGGATTAGGTTTCAGAGACCTTAAGTTGTTTAACGTTTCTTTTCTTGGGAACCAAGTTAGGAGATTTCTTCAAGACCATAACTCTCTTTCTTTTAAAGTTTTCAAAGCAAAGTACTTTCCTAACTCCTTTATGGATTTCAAACTAGGAGATAGAGCTTCATGCTTCTGGTCTATTCTCTTCAAAGTAAAAGAATCCTTGAAAGACGACTTCTTTTGGAGGATTGGTTTTAAGGGAGAAGCTAGAATATTCCTGGATATGTGGGGGGATGCCTCCCCAATCAACTGAACTTGCTTTTATCGGGATAACGTGGATTCCCCTTTTAAATGTGTTGACTTTATGATTCCAAATACCCCAAGATGGAATGAAGCAAAGATTCAACAAGTGCTCACCCCCGAGGACACGAACATAGTTCTTAGAACTCTTATTTCCCCTACACCAAAAGACAGTTTGATTTAGAGTCATCACAACATAGGATGCTTCTCAGCGAAGTTAGGGTTTAATTGGTTTCTCTTGCGAAAGGGTCTCATAGCTGAACAAGATAAAATATGAAAAACACTAACCAAACTATCTACCTTACCAAAAATTAGGATCTTCAGTTGGAGAGTGTGTCATATGGCAATCCCTACAAAGGAAAAAATGATGAAAGCTCGGTTGACTGAGGGGACATGCCCCATGTGTGGTAGCGAAATGGAAACAATGATTCATACCTTAAAGGATTGTCTTAAGACTCGCTCAATTCTCCAAATCTCGGGTCTCAAAACTTCTATTATTGATTGGCGAAGGGATTCATGTAAGGACTGGTTGGAATAGGCTACTTCACAATTGGATTTAGAGGGACTCGTCAGACTCATTGGGCTTCTTTGGAACATATGAAATCGAATGAAAGTTTCCTCCCACACGATGAAGAGCAGCAAAAAGATAGAGATGTGGTGGCAGCCGCATGGAGGCTTTGTGCAAAACTTGCTGAAGTCAAATCCTGTGAAAGTTACCTCTCACACCAACAGAGGTCCATGAAAATTCATTGTTGAAGTCACCCTAAGACAAACTCAGTCAAGATACATGTTGATGGAGCGTTCATGCCATCAAGTGTCACTGTCGCAATTGGAAATGTCGCTCGAGATCACAACAAAATGGTCATTGGAGGTATGCGTCGTCAAATTAAGCCTCCATTCACAACGGAATTAGTGGAAGTGATAACCTTCACAATGAATTAAGTTCACCATTGAGAATGGTTGGACAGACGCAGTTATCGAATGTGATGCGATTTCCATAGTGAACAAACTTTCAATCAAATTGAGGACATTTCACCATCAGATTGTTGCTCAACGAAACTCTCATATTGTTGACCAGGAATCGGAAGCTCAAGGTTTACTACATACACCGTGAGGCGAATCAAGTGGCTCACTCATTGGCTCATTGGGCTTTGTCGAGACCAATTCGTACTAGTTTTATTATGATGAACCGAATGTATTAAGTTTGTTATATTAACGGATGCTATTGGAATATAATGAATTTCCTCTTTTAAAAAAATTGATTTGTCATTGATCATTGCACGATTAGAAAGTATATACATCACGAAAAAAGTATTAGACGAACATGGCTCACCATGTCATGTGTGGTCTCAATCAATAATATTTTTTAATCTCATTTCTTTTAAGGTGGATCTCCACTTCTTTCCTATCTGTAAATAAGGGTGAGCAGTTAGATAAAAGTTATTTTAAAATTAATTCATGTGATTTACTTGGACTATAGATGACATGGTGAGTCGAGTCCATGAAATTATTTCTCATACATCACATTGATAAAAAAATACTAACGAAGTATAAGGAGCATCCGTGCTATTAATCCTTCTAATAACAAAATCATAATTAGCGATAACATTTTAAGATTCAAGTAAACTTGTTAAATGGCTAACAGTCAATCCAATACACTGTTCATGAAGACAAGGCAAAACATCTGTACAACCGAGGCTACGCGCTAAATATAAGAGCATTGATGAACCCCAATTGTAACCCACGTGACTCAACTGTCCTTTAGCCCTTCAAACTTCTTTCTCTCTAAACCTTCACCTGTCTCAACAATGGCTTCTTCTTCCTCCTCGCTTCTCTGCAAGCTTTTTCCCCCTCTTCATAACTCACGCTATCCTCTCAACCCCCAAAGTCCAAACCCAAGTTAAAGACACAAGCCTGAAGCTGGTCAGAGATGCCTTGGAATGACAACTTCCGATGTCGTTTTACACTACCATAAGAAGCCAAAGCTGATATTGATGATGATGAAGGTGGAAATGAAAATGGGTATGGTCGAAGATCATTGCTCTGGAAAAGGATGAGGTACTACATTTCGTACGGTGCGTTGTCGCTAAAAGGATCCCAACCCTATGCCCACCGAGGTCGGGGAGATCTTAGTATACGCACAATTGTTTCAAGGTCATGGTCCTATTCATCCTTACTTTAGGGTTGTTCCAGGATCATTCGTTGTCGGAGGTGAGCACCTCAGTTTATTCCTATCCATATTTTGGTAAAATAACTTAATGCTGCAATATTTTAGTGTTGAAACTAGCTAAAATATCCTTACTTTTGTTCTTTTTTTTCTCTTAACGTGGATTAACAATGTTATTATGAAGTTGTTATGTGCATATTAAATCTAGGGAAGGTCATTTAACCTGGATTTGACCAATTTTGATTCGATTTTTAGCCCAGTCAAATTTAGTGTGAAAGTTTTTTGGATTCAGATTAACATCGGGTTTAAAGTAAAAAATCTTCAAGCCTACCCGGATATTTATAATTATATAGTTTAAGTTATTTACAAAAATGTCATTCAATATGGGTTTAATTATAAAATAAGTATTCAAATTATATCACTCTTGTTAAATAGGTACTTAATATTTTTTAAATCATTCAAGTGTCTAATATTATAAATGTTATCATTTTAGGTGTCTCGGCCGTAATATTCATTAAAAAAATTATGTTAAGTCACGCGGTGTTATGTTTATATTTCAAAAAAAATATTTAAAAAATATAAATCAATATATAAAAATATCTTTAAAAAATTAATATTTGAAAACTAACCCCAAATTCTTAAAATTCCTTATTCTAATCTCATTTTCTCCAATCTTCGAGCATCTTTGGCCACTCATATGTACACAAACGACCACTCATATTTCGTCGACCACACGCTGATCAGTCATAACCCTTATGATCATCTGAAAACCCAAAATTCTCAATTTCTACATTTTAATTCCCCCTAAAATCTCAAACACTCAATCCTTTAGTTGATTGTGATAATCAGACGTTTAGTTGGTTGTGCTAGCCGATCGTTTGGCCATTTGATTGGTCGGTTGGGCATGGAAAAGCAGGGGAGGAAGAGGGGGACGCGAGTTTGAGAATTTTTTAAAATAATATTTTTATTTTAAAATGTAAAAATTTCAAACTTCTATAAATGTGACATGTGTCACTTAACGAGATTTTTAATAGCCGACTCTTAAAGTGATAAAATTTATAACATTAAGTATCTGGATGATTCGAAAAAAGTTTTAAGAACTTATTCGGAAAAAATGGTATATTTTGACCACTTATTTTATAATTAAGCCTTTAATATATAACTATTTTATTTTTTCTTTTCTTTCGTTCCTTCCTTCTTTTCTGTCGTTGGATTCTTTTCTCTCAAAGATTTTTCATTTCTCCTCCCTTAAATATTATCTCAAAAAAACTATTGAAAGATATTTACAAATATACAAATTAAAAGTCCTCGACTCCTTACTAAGTACATCTGCACCATCAAACAACCATTTACCATCCTAAAACAAATCCCATTTTAGACTTTTTTTTTCTTATGCACTATATTTAGGTAAGCTCGACTGTTAAAGAAAATGTTCCAGAATTACATGCCATGATCTAGAAGGTAATTGTCCTAATCTTGTTACCAATCCAAAAGCAAAGCGACCCGACCCTTTCACAATCCTGGAGCATAGGGGTATCTGTAGGAACTTTTTTCAATTTTTTTAATTTTTTAAAT